AACGAAAACGGGGTCTGTCCGCAATATTCGATGAACGCCCTGAGAGCCGAGAGGCTCATCATCCATTCCACATCCATGAGGGCCTTCTGAGGGTTGGTGGGTAACATTGTAATCCTTGTGTCTTACCTTTCGTTTCAAACTTACACTTTGCGACTTTCCAACGGCAAGATATGAATACAAGAATGATGATGGATCCTAGGATCTGCTGTTAACAAGAATTGGTTAAGGCTTAACCATTTCTTTCGCAGGCTTTCAAAAAAAAAAACCGCGAACAGTTTTTGAAGTATCTCTGTGTCGAGTGCATTTTTAATTCAAGGAAATACAATGCCGCACATGTGCTGGCAAACTTTCCAATCGACCGTTTTTAAGATCTTGTTTTCCCAAGCAAAACAAATATAACAATGTTTAAACTTATTTTTAAAGAGAATGATTTTCTCCGCTAAAGGATACGCCGCATGTGGATTAAATTCCAATCATCTATTCTCCACAAAGTGTGATCACTCCAAAATGATTTTATCCCAGTCTGGAGTGACGGGTTAATGCATCGGTACCCTGCCAAAGTTGCTTTTTTGTTTGTTCACTCTCTGCGCTAAGCCATTTAGGACGCACTTTTTTAAAAAAGAAAAGCAACCATACGCTGTTCGTGGCTCTTTTAATGTATGGGTTGCCACACCGTAATGATTGCAGAATTGTAAATTCGCAATATTGCGAAGTTTAGTTTAACATAACAGCTTCTCTTCCATTATATTTGCTTTCTGCCAAGTCCGAAAACAAATCATTATAAAATCCCTTTATTGCCCTATAAAATTCAGCTGGTGCTTGTAAATAATGCTAATGGTTGTCAAAAACTTAAGTACGTGGAAAAATAGCTTCCTCAACATGTTCTTTTAACAGCTGTGTGTTTTACTAACCAAATGTTAGAATCATGAGCTATTGGGTTTGAACTGATTTGCGGTGTTTTGTGTGGTATGTCTTTTTTTTTTCTGTATTAATTAAGCTGTTTTGCTCTGGCCATGGAAGTGTCCAACGTTTATTTCCAGAGAATTAAGATCTGCGTATCGTAATTTAGTGCATTATTATATTCGTATCTACGAAGCTGTTACGAAAAACCTTCGCGTCAGCGCATTGTCTCACTTCGAAAAGCCCAACCTCTTGATAATCCGCTTGTTGTGTACCAGAAAATGTTCAGAGTAGTATAGATGCGATTGATTGTTATTTGTAACACTGCATTTTCTTCATAAAATTGCACTGCTATCGCACTACCATGAAAACAAAAAGGCCAGAAGTCTCAGGAGCTGCGGGTGGTTTGCCACACCAAAATTTAAGAATTTGTTAATGACACTCAGAAAAAATAACTGTTGTAGGTGTCTTTACTCGTCGTACTGCTGCCCGCTTCGCCTGTCACGCCCCTTAAAAAAAAGCGCAAACACATCGCAAGTCTTATTGTCTAGAAGCCCTCTTTCTTGGATTCTGTGGTGGGATCGCATATGTCCTGATGGGCTGTGTCTCTCGGTTTTAGAACCACTTTGTCAATACCGTTTTTCTCGTCTACTAACGCGCCACTGTATGTATTTCAATTTTATACAACCTGTGCAACCTTAGCGCAACCTATAAATTTATCTCAATGGCTGCTTTGGCTTTATTTTAGCTCAGCGGCGTCCGAAATGATCAATGGCGCTTCTAACTGTCAAATCGTGTACGGTTTCCCTTTCCATGCATCTAAGGAGTTTAATGCTTTACCCAATTTTGAATGGAAATGCACCCCATCCGCATGAGGAAGCATCAGTAAAATACATTTCAGAGGTTTGCTGTGGAATTAGCACTCTGGCAGGTGTGCTCTTGAGGCGTGCTTCGGCAAATCTCAGCGCATGAGGGGACAAAAAAGCTGTTACCTCATGGACGTGCCAGCCCTCGATTTAGACAGAAGAAATGACATTGTGCAATCTGTGGAAATCAAATAAGAAAAAAGATGTATGTCTGCAAGAGACGCTGCGCGTATCGCGCACAAGGCAGCAGTTTTAGAACTTTAGAAAACCTGCCCCCCAGTGGTAAGGCCTAGGTTGTTTGTAGTAAATTTTTTGACTCAAAGACACAGCCGGATCCTGTAGCCAAACAGAAAAACGCTGGAGTCTGAGATCTTGGTAAAGTGGTATTTTTTTATAGACATGTGAAAATAATCTCTTTGAGGAGGGTTTATTCGTTACTTCCTTTGGTGTATTTCATTGTTCATGAAATTTTTTTATTAGTTATTTCTCTTGGATTTGCTGACAGAATGGCATTTGGAATTCTGTGGCGATGGGGTTCTGCATTTTGGTAGGTTGTATAAATATTATTATCTTATTAAGTTGTAATACTCTCTATTAAAGAACACATTTTAAGTATAGTGACGATAACGTTGGTGTCTTATACGCCGGACCAATAGAAGGGGCTAGGTTGGCAGTTGGTTGAATATGCGCGTGGGCATGGCGATGTAAAGGTTCGCCTTGGCCAACTGGCGCCCCAAGGTCCGGAATAGCATGCCGCGGCGGCGCGTCTTCTTCCTACAAGTTTATTTATCTTTAGCGCAAGCAGCGTTCGACTTTGGGGCAACAACGCGATTTATTTACACATGGTAAATTAAAAGATGCCGTCCTTTCTAGGTTTTGCTCTGGGGGTTTTTCTCCCATAATAAGGGTTTCGAAACGATGAGATTCTGAGGAAGGTGCCTTCCAGCCCCATTGGCGTAGCATTCCGCACGATTACGGAGAGAGACATGTTAATTTGGAACGGCGCGAGGTTCAAAATTTCCCTGGTGGCTTTGGGGGCATAAGATCGATTATATTCTTTTTTGTGACAGAACGAACCGCTTACTTAAGCTAATCGGCGTCAAAACTCCCGCGCCCGGCCTCAGTCGGATCTGACGGCGCACAAGTCAGCTCTAGAGGGGCATCGGGTGCCATTGGGGCGCCGGAAACCGGCATCGCAAAAGGCAGAGGCGCGCCTTACTGGGCCATTGGGCCAGATGGCGCCCGCCCGACCACAACCCCAATGCGCACCGGCCCGTCAGAAGCAAACCCGCACACGCACCCCTTTCAATTTCGTTAAACGGGNGGGGGGGGGGGGCTGCTATTACAGAATTTGTGGTGCTTATGGTTTATTGGGGCAGGGCGCGCCCCATATTAAAAGGCTTTTTGTTAATGCGGGGGCCTGCGCCGCCGCCGCGCAGGCAGGAGGAAAACCCGTTTCAAATTATCTGGACCCCGGGCGGCGCCTTTTGAATGACTTTTGCATGCCCTTATTCAAGCCCACGGGCACCTTCCTCCCGGAGCAAAAAGTCCGCAGCGACGAAACGCAGCGGCCAACGAAGCCGATGACACGTCGGGGGTGGCAAAACCTTAATAAAACAGGCCGCGGGGGCGCCTGGCTTTGCGACGTTGCCGCTGCGGCTCGGCGGGCCATGCGGCCCCGAAGTGCGATGCGAAGTGGGCCGTGGGGAAAGCGAGGGCGCCCCCATATCCCTTAGAGGGTGAAAAGCCCAAAAACCACGGGGGCTGCGCGCCTCCCGTGGCGG